GCATTTGCCAACACCGTTTTTATTAAACTCCGAAAAGATTTTAAAACGCCTTATTCACCCCCCCTCTAAGGCGTGGGCACAACGACTAAACCGACTAAGAATGATGTTAGAGAACCTCTCAAACATTTCTTCAATCTTCTCGTTTTCCTTCATTGAGAAGAGTTCGTACTCATGGGTGAGATGGTCAATTTTGGCCTCACGAACCTGCGCGGTTCCTTCATAGGTGACCTTCAATTTCTCCCACATTTGTTTTGCGGTTTCACACCGCGAGATTTTGCGGTAGTCATCCGCGTTAACACCGCAATAAATCATGTTTATTGCCTTTGCGTTGAGCTCCATTTTTTGCAGTCTTCGTCGGTGAACTCCTCTTCAGTTTTGGGAACGTTGACTTCACCGACTTTATTCATCGGGACTCCACAGTCGTTCTTCACAATCAACCACAGCTTGTAGTCGTTGGATTGGATAAAGATTCTCATCCTCTCCTTCCAATATGAGTAGTTTGTTCCATCGAACAAAGGTGGCCTCGTGGTTGATTGTCCCTCGGTCACTTCTGCGTTAAACATCCTTGATGCCATTTGATCTTTTAGTTCCTGAAAAATAACGTATTCGAAGAACTTCCTGCTCCGATACCAATTGTTAGACAAATGTGCAACTTTAGAGGGGGGTGAATAGAATTGTTTTCAAGAATGTGCGTTTTTTGCGTGTGTGAAAAAATAAAATCGCAGGAATAAATAAAGAGAGTAAGGGAAAGAAGAACACCGAGATTTATACTGGTTCACCACCTCGTGGCTAGTCCAGTCTTCCGAGAGACTCTCTTGAAAGTCCTACTAATCTTCAAGCTTCAACGGGTGCTTGAAAAATCGGTACAACTTGAGAACTTGAATCACACAAGCCTCACTTTCTTACAACAACAAGACTTGAGTCACACAAGTCTTTAGAACAACACTCAAATGAGATTGAGTTTAACAACACAAGAATGAAAGCTCACACAATTGAGCAAAGTAGTGTTGAAGAATTAAAGCTCTATGGATGACAAAATCTTTAGCACTCAATAAAATATTTCTAACTCTCAAAATAATTTATTTGATGAGGAAGATGGAAGCAAGAAATGAATATAGTTCAATGAAGATATTGGAGTGCAAGAGTTGAGTCTTAAAATGAAGGAGAATGAGGGATTAAATATGCTGAGAAAAAAAGAACCGTTGGAGTAAGCTGAGGATATGCACGAGATAAAATTAATCGATTAACGTAGATAGTTAAATCGATTACGGTACACAGAGGCAAAAAATCTTGAATAGAAGAACAAAAATAATCGATTAAAGGAAGGCCTAAAAATTGATTAGTCGGCTCTGTCCGAACTAATCAATTAATTGAAGACAAAAAATCAATTATTTGTCAGACCAGGGGAATCCAACGAAAAGCCTATTAATCGATTATATGAAGGCAGATAATCGATTATGGAGGAGATAATGCGCAACACAAAGGATCCAAGCCAGTTGCGATAAGAAGTGAATTGGCTTATACTCGTTTGTTTGAGACAAGAACGCTCCTCAAGAGAAAGTATCCCTTATTCAATGAATTTTGAATAGGGGAGAAAAAGTGAGTCCAAAAATTACTTTGTGTGTCAAACGATGTATACGAAAATATTTAAAGTATATTTTTCTTACCAAAAGAAAATTGTGTATCCTAAAAAAATATTTTTAAGAATTTTTGACACACTATTTTGAAACTGACTCAGTAAAATATTTTTAGACAGAGAAAAAATAATTTTTCAACTGACTCAGAAAATAATAATTTTTATCCCTCAAAAATTTTTTTTTATGCAAAAAGTATTGTCATCCTTACAAAATTCCTAGACTCAATAAAAAAATAAAAGGTCTTCGGAATCTTCACTTCACTTCAAAAAATTTCTGCGTAGGGGTAAGCCTTGATTTTATCTTGATACGCCTCTTTGCTTTTTTCTCGATACGAAAATAAATTTTCGATCAGCTTGAATTTAATCATCCTGTTTGTCATTCATCAAAACAAAAAAAATATTCCAGAAAAAATAGTAAAGGGGTTTGAACTCATGTCCAACAAACTCAAATTATATAATCATGAAATACAACACTTAAATCAGCAACACACTTGCTTTATTAATTCAAAAGCAACAACATAATTTATTATCAAAGTATTGCATTATTCATCAAATCTTAATAAAACTCAAACTATTATGTAATGAAATCCTGGACTTAAATCAGTATACTCCACTAATGAAAAAATGTCTGGATTAATTTTTTTCAATCTTAACACTCCTCATTTTGTTGACGAACTTATCTCCATCTTCAATGTTAGACGATTCATCTTGCATTCTTTTTATGGGAGTAAGATTTATCTCATCATGTCGAGAATGTGCCGGACCACTATCTTGAGATTCCACAAAATCGTCAATTAAATTCGTAAAAAAGTCAAAGGAACATATACATTGGAACTTGCTTTGTTTAATTATATGTACGTTTAAGTTACGCACGTACATTTTTTATACATTTATATTTTTTATTATTTAAAAAATAAAAATAATTTTATTTAGGAGAGTCATTATGACTTAGATTTTAATACCTTTATGATAGACGATGCCTTGTCAACTGAAATAACATGTGTGTTTGTCTTCTCACCAATTGAATATCCAATAGTCTTATCAGTTTGCGATCAAGAAAATTTTTATAAATTTATCAATCATAATATGTGAAGAGATCTATAAAATGATGTTTAAGTGAATGTTTTTTATTCCAAACCTAAGGAGAGAAAAAGGTAGAGTGCAACTCCTTAAATTTTTCAGTGATCCGATCATCAAAGCATATGTCATTCACCTCGTAAGAAGGTTCAAACTCATTGAAGGTTGGTGCCCTTACCTCCACCTTGGAGATAAATGATTTATCTAGCAGCATTTGCTTGAACACATCTGGTTGTTCACTTCCTCCTGACACTTCCTTTGAACGGAAACACGAAGGTTACTCATGTGGCAGAGATCGAATTTGATAGCAAGTCACAATCAATTTTATACCTCACATTCCTTTTAAAATTTGTATACATTCATCAAAGATTTATTAAATTTTATATACATACCTCACAAAACATCAACATCTCGGAGCACGACTTATGTAGCAACAAACATGCAACGGTCTCAAATATTACAAATGCTGCACTATCAAATGCATCGTTCACT